TATTTAGACCCCTTTACAACACGAAAGGCCATCCCCCGTTTTTCCTGATGTTACAAGCGGATAAATACCCCCCCTGTGTAACTTAGATGTCAGCCATTGCAGCTCAGCTGACACCTCCCCGTTTGGGTCCCCGGGGGGCCCCCTTTGTGATGGAACAGGGTGCCCTTTCCTCTGTTGCACGTCCTGGAAAAAATGCTTTTAAAAATGGCTGGTCGGGTCGGTAGACGGGGCGCACGGGATCTCAACGCCCATACCCCTGTGGGGGCAGGACGGGAAAAGAGGAGGAGGTAAGGAGGACATTGGGTGCTCGGGAATATTGATTGAAAGGGGTGGTTTTTTTCCACTCAGGACAAGGGGAGGACAGGACATCTGGTAAGGAGGAGGGGGAGACAAGGACCCAAAACCCCGTGGCATACTGTGGAATGGGGCAGGGAGTCCCTCGCTTTCCTTGGCACAAAGGCCCATAGCATGCTGGGGTTGCTTGCGTAGCGACAGCCGAATAAAACCATCAACAGGGGGATGACTTTGGGCTGTCCACCTTTTTTGGACCCCGCTCCCCGTTCAAAAAATGTGGCCTTTTTCACACCTGCTGAGAGGGAGGCCAAAATAACGTACAAAAAACCACCTAGTAGTCATTTGGGCTTGCCTTTCTCGCCAACTTCCATCCCAGACACGTGGGCCCTGTGCCCCCCGCTTCCCCTGCCATGGCACAGGGGAGGGGGGGTGGTAGGAGCATGGCAGCTCCACCAGCACGGCTGCCTAAATCTGCGTCGATGATGATAGTTTTTCTTCCCCAGCGCATGGGGAAACTACAACCAGGCCGCAGCAGAAACAGGTGGACCTGGAGCGGGACCCAAACAACAGGCTTGGGCCTACTTGGACAGCACCTGCCAAACCAAGAGGGTGAAAGACTATCCCTTGACTACGTGGGCAACGAAATTGACCGTTGTGGCCCCAACTAGCCTTGAATTTGCCCTTGAATAAGGTCTGTCATGCCATGGCCAGTAGCGGTAGGCATCCAGGTCCAGAGTGTGTCATGGGTCCCTGTACGGCCTCCCATTGCTGCTGTCTCCATCGCCACACTCTGCCATGTGCCACTTTCAGGTCTCTCCTCACACTGCTGGTGGGTTCCATTTTGTCATAGGGTGCTGGCAGATTACGGGCCTCCCATTGCTGCTGCCAGGCCCGTAATCTGCCATGGGCCCCCGTACCGACTCCTCATGCTGCTGCCAGGTCTGTCATGGGCCCCTGTAAACCGCCTCCTCATGCTGCTGTCAGGTCCAGAGTGTGTCATGGGTCCCTGTACGGCCTCCCATTGCTGCTGTCTCCTCCATCGCCCACACTCTGCCATGTGCCACTTTCAGGTCTCCTCACACTGCTGGTGGGTTCCATTTTTGTCATAGGGGTGCTGGCAGATTACCGGCCTCCCATTGCTGCTGCCAGGCCCGTAATCTGCCATGGGCCCCCGTACCGACTCCTCATGCTGCTGCCAGGCCCGTAATCTGTCATGGGCCCCTGTACCGCCTCCTCATGCTGCTGCCAGGTCCAGAGTGTGTCATGGGTCCCTGTACGGCCTCCCATTGCTGCTGTCTCCATCGCCACACTCTGCCATGTGCCACTTTCAGGTCTCCTCACACTGCTGGTGGTTCCATTTTGTCATAGGGTGCTGTATGGCCTCCCATTGCTGCTGCCAGGCCCGTAATCTGCCTGGGCCCCCGTACCGACTCCTCATGCTGCTGCCAGGCCCGTAATCTGTCATGGGCCCCTGTACCGCCTGCCTCCTCATGCTGCTGCCAGATCCAGAGTGTGTCATGGGTCCCTGTACGGCCTCCCATTGCTGCTGTCTCCATCGCCACACTCTGCCATGTGCCACTTTCCTTCAGGTCTCCTCACACTGCTGGTGGGTTCCATTTTGTCATAGGGTGCTGGCAGATTACGGGCCTCCCATTGCTGCTGCCAGGCCCGTAATCTGCCATGGGCCCCCGTACCGACTCCTCATGCTGCTGCCAGGCCCGTAATCTGTCATGGGCCCCTGTACCGCCTCCTCATGCTGCTGCCAGGTCCAGAGTGTGTCATGGGTCCCTGTACGGCCTCCCATTGCTGCTGCCAGGCCCGTAATCTGCCATGGGCCCCCGTACCGACTCCTCATGCTGCTGCCAGGCCCGTAATCTGTCATGGGCCCCTGTACCGCCTCCCTCATGCTGCTGCCAGGTCCAGAGTGTGTCATGGGTCCCTGTACGGCCTCCCATTGCTGCTGTCTCCATCGCCACACTCTGCCATGTGCCACTTTCAGGTCTCCTCACACTGCTGGTGGGTTCCATTTTGTCATAGGGTGCTGGCAGATTACGGGCCTCCCATTGCTGCTGCCAGGCCCGTAATCTGCCATGGGCCCCCGTACCGACTCCTCATGCTGCTGCCAGGCCCGTAATCTGTCATGGGCCCCTGTACCGCCTCCTCATGCTGCTGCCAGGTCCAGAGTGTGTCATGGGTCCCTGTACGGCCTCCCATTGCTGCTGTCTCCATCGCCACACTCTGCCATGTGCCACTTTCAGGTCTCCTCACACTGCTGGTGGGTTCCATTTTGTCATAGGGTGCTGTATGGCCTCCCATTGCTGCTGCCAGGCCCGTAATCTGCCATGGGCCCCCGTACCGACTCCTCATGCTGCTGCCAGGCCCGTAATCTGTCATGGGCCCCTGTACCGCCTCCTCATGCTGCTGCCAGGTCCAGAGTGTGTCATGGGTCCCTGTACGGCCTCCCATTGCTGCTGTCTCCATCGCCCACACTCTGCCATGTGCCACTTTCAGGTCTCCTCCCACTGCTGGTGGGTTCCATTTTGTCATAGGGTGCTGGCAGATTACGGGCCTCCCATTGCTGCTGCCAGGCCCGTAATCTGCCATGGGCCCCCTGTACTGACTCCTCATGCTGCTGCCAGGCCCGTAATTTGTCATGGGCCCCTGTACCGCCTCCTCATGCTGCTGCCAGGTCCAGAGTGTGTCATGGGTCCCTGTACGGCCTCCCATTGCTGCTGCCAGGCCCATAATCTGCCATGGGCCCCCGTACCGACTCCTCATGCTGCTTCCAGGCCCGTAATCTGTCATGGGCCCCTGTACCGCCTCCTCATGCTGCTGCTGCCAGGTCCAGAGTGTGTCATGGGTCCCTGTACGGCCTCCCATGCTGCTGCTGCCAGGCCCGTAATCTGCCATGGGCCCCCGTACCGACTCCTCATGCTGCTGCCAGGCCCGTAATCTGTCATGGGCCCCTGTACCGCCTCCTCATGCTGCTGCCAGGTCCAGAGTGTGTCATGGGTCCCTGTACGGCCTCCCATTGCTGCTGTCTCCATCGCCACACTCTGCCATGTGCCACTTTCAGGTCTCCTCACACTGCTGGTGGGTTCCATTTTGTCATAGGGTGCTGGCAGATTACGGGCCTCCCATTGCTGCTGCCAGGCCCGTAATCTGCCATGGGCCCCCGTACCGACTCCTCATGCTGCTGCCAGGCCCGTAATCTGTCATGGGCCCCTGTACCGCCTCCTCATGCTGCTGCCAGGTCCAGAGTGTGTCATGGGTCCCTGTACGGCCTCCCATTGCTGCTGTCTCCATCGCCACACTCTGCCATGTGCCACTTTCAGGTCTCCTCACACTGCTGGTGGGTTCCATTTTGTCATAGGGTGCTGTATGGCCTCCCATTGCTGCTGCCAGGCCCGTAATCTGCCATGGGCCCCCGTACCGACTCCTCATGCTGCTGCCAGGCCCGTAATCTGTCATGGGCCCCTGTACCGCCTCCTCATGCTGCTGCTGCCAGGTCCAGAGTGTGTCATGGGTCCCTGTACGGCCTCCCATTGCTGCTGTCTCCATCGCCACACTCTGCCATGTGCCACTTTCAGGTCTCCTCACACTGCTGGTGGGTTCCATTTTGTCATAGGGTGCTGGCAGATTACGGGCCTCCCATTGCTGCTGCCAGGCCCGTAATCTGCCATGGGCCCCCATACCGACTCCTCATGCTGCTGCCAGGCCCGTAATTTGTCATGGGCCCCTGTACCGCCTCCTCATGCTGCTGCCAGGTCCAGAGTGTGTCATGGGTCCCTGTACGGCCTCCCATTGCTGCTGCCCCCCACCCCCTGTAGGGGCAAGATTAGGCCTCCCAGGCCCATAATCTGCCATGGGCCCCCGTACCGACTCCTCATGCTGCTGCCAGGCCCGTAATCTGTCATGGGCCCCTGTACCGCCTCCTCATGCTGCTGCCAGGTCCAGAGTGTGTCATGGGTCCCCTGTACGGCCTCCCATTGCTGCTGTCTCCATCTCCATCGCCACACTCTGCCATGTGCCACTTTTAGGTCTCCTCACACTGCTGGGGGGTTCCATTTTTTTGTCATAGGGTGCTGTATGGCCTCCCATTGCTGCTGCCAGGCCCGTAATCTGCCATGAGCCCCCGTACCGACTCCCTCATGCTGCTGCCAGGCCCGTAATCTGTCATGGGCCCCTGTACCGCCTCCTCATGCTGCTGCCAGGTCCAGATTGTGTCATGGGTCCCTGTACGGCCTCCCATTGCTGCTGTCTCCATCGCCACACTCTGCCATGTGCCACTTTCAGGTCTCCTCACACACTGCTGGTGGGTTCCATTTTGTCATAGGGTGCTGGCAGATTATGGGCCTCCCATTGCTGCTGCCAGGCCCGTAATCTGCCATGGGCCCCCGTACCGACGACTCCTCATGCTGCTGCCCAGGCCCGTAATCTGTCATGGGCCCCTGTACCGCCTCCTCATGCTGCTGCCAGGTCCAGAGTGTGTCATGGGTCCCTGTACGGCCTCCCATTGCTGCTGTCTCCATCGCCACACTCTGCCATGTGCCACTTTCAGGTCTCCTCACACTGCTGGTGGGTTTCCATTTTGTCATAGGGTGCTGGCAGATTACGGGCCTCCCATTGCTGCTGCCAGGCCCGTAATCTGCCATGGGCCCCCGTACCGACTCCTCATGCTGCTACCAGGCCCGTAATCTGTCATGGGCCCCTGTACCGCCTCCTCATGCTGCTGCTGCCAGGTCCAGAGTGTCATGGGTCCCTGTACGGCCTCCCATTGCTGCTGTCTCCATCGCCCACACTCTCTGCCATGTGCCACTTTCAGGTCTCCTCACACTGCTGGTGGGTTCCATTTTGTCATAGGGTGCTGTATGGCCTCCCATTGCTGCTGCCAGGCCCGTAATCTGCCATGGGCCCCCGTACCGACTCCTCATGCTGCTGCCAGGCCCGTAATCTGTCATGGGCCCCTGTACCGCCTCCTCATGCTGCTGCCAGATCCAGAGTGTGTCATGGGTCCCTGTACGGCCTCCCATTGCTGCTGCTGTCTCCATCGCCACACTCTGCCATGTGCCACTTTCAGGTCTCCTCACACTGCTGGTGGGTTCCATTTTGACATAGGGTGCTGGCAGATTACGGCCCTCCCATTGCTGCTGCCAGGCCCGTAATCTGCCATGGGCCCCCGTACCGACTCCTCATGCTGCTGCCAGGCCCGTAATCTGTCATGGGCCCCTGTACCGCCTCCTCATGCTGCTGCTGCCAGGTCCAGAGTGTGTCATGGGTCCCTGTACGGCCTCCCATTGCTGCTGCCAGGGCCCGTAATCTGCCATGGGCCCCCGTACCGACTCCTCATGCTGCTGCCAGGCCCGTAATCTGTCATGGGCCCCTGTACCGCCTCCTCATGCTGCTGCCAGGTCCAGAGTGTGTCATGGGTCCCTGTACGGCCTCCCATTGCTGCTGTCTCCATCGCCACACTCTGCCATGTGCCACTTTCAGGTCTCCTCACACTGCTGGTGGGTTCCATTTTGTCATAGGGTGCTGGCAGATTACGGGCCTCCCATTGCTGCTGCCAGGCCCGTAATCTGCCATGGGCCCCCGTACCGACTCCTCATGCTGCTGCCAGGCCCGTAATCTGTCATGGGCCCCTGTACCCGCCTCCTCATGCTGCTGCCAGGTCCAGAGTGTGTCATGGGTCCCTGTACGGCCTCCCATTGCTGCTGTCTCCATCGCCACACTCTGCCATGTGCCACTTTCAGGTCTCCTCACACTGCTGCCGTGCTGGTGGGTTCCATTTTGTCATAGGGTGCTGTATGGCCTCCCATTGCTGCTGCCAGGCCCGTAATCTGCCATGGGCCCCCGTACCGACTCCTCATGCTGCTGCCAGGCCCGTAATCTGTCATGGGCCCCTGTACCGCCTCCTCATGCTGCTGCCAGGTCCAGAGTGTGTCATCGGTCCCTGTACGGCCTCCCATTGCTGCTGTCTCCATCGCCACACTCTGCCATGTGCCACTTTCAGGTCTCCTCCCACTGCTGGTGGGTTCCATTTTGTCATAGGGTGCTGGCAGATTACGGGCCCTCCCATTGCTGCTGCCAGGCCCGTAATCTGCCATGGGCCCCCGTACCGACTCCTCATGCTGCTGCCAGGCCCGTAATCTGTCATGGGCCTCTGTACCCGCCTCCTCATGCTGCTGCCAGGTCCAGAGTGTGTCATGGGTCCCTATACGGCCTCCCATTGCTGCTGTCTCCATCGCCACACTCTGCCATGTGCCACTTTCAGGTCTCCTCACACTGCTGGTGGGTTCCACTTTGTCATAGGGTGCTGGCAGATTATGGGCCTCCCATTGCTGCTGCCAGGCCCGTAATCTGCCATGGGCCCCCCGTACCGACTCCTCATGCTGCTGCCAGGCCCGTAATCTGTCATGGGCCCCTGTACCGCCTCCTCATGCTGCTGCCAGGTCCAGAGTGTGTCATGGGTCCCTGTACGGCCTCCCATTGCTGCTGTCTCCATCGCCACACTCTGCCATGTGCCACTTTCAGGTCTCCTCACACTGCTGGTGGGTTCCATTTTGTCATAGGGTGCTGGCAGATTACGGGCCTCCCATTGCTGCTGCCAGGCCCGTAATCTGCCATGAGCCCCCGTACCGACTCCTCATGCTGCTGCCAGGCCCGTAATCTGTCATGGGCCCCTGTACCGCCTCCTCATGCTGCTGCCAGGTCCAGAGTGTGTCATGGGTCCCTGTACGGCCTCCCATTGCTGCTGTCTCCATCGCCACACTCTGCCATGTGCCACTTCAGGTCTCCTCACACTGCTGGTGGGTTCCATTTTGTCATAGGGTGCTGTATGGCCTCCCATTGCTGCTGCCAGGCCCGTAATCTGCCATGGGCCCCCGTACCGACTCCTCATGCTGCTGCCAGGCCCGTAATCTGTCATGGGCCTCTGTACCGCCTCCTCATGCTGCTGCCAGGTCCAGAGTGTGTCATGGGTCCCTGTACGGCCTCCCATTGCTGCTGTCTCCATCGCCACACTCTGCCATGTGCCACTTTCAGGTCTCCTCACACTGCTGGTGGGTTCCACTTTGTCATAGGGTGCTGGCAGATTATGGGCCTCCCATTGCTGCTGCCAGGCCCGTAATCTGCCATGGGCCCCCGTACCGACTCCTCATGCTGCTGCCAGGCCCGTAATCTGTCATGGGCCCCTGTGCCGCCTCCTCATGCTGCTGCCAGGTCCAGAGTGTGTCATGGGTCCCTGTACGGCCTCCCATTGCTGCTGTCTCCATCGCCACACTCTGCCATGTGCCACTTTCAGGTCTCCTCACACTGCTGGTGGGTTCCATTTTGTCATAGGGTGCTGGCAGATTACGGGCCTCCCATTGCTGCTGCCAGGCCCGTAATCTGCCATGGGCCCCCGTACCGACTCCTCATGCTGCTGCCAGGCCCGTAATCTGTCATGGGCCCCTGTACCGCCTCCTCATGCTGCTGCCAGGTCCAGAGTGTGTCATGGGTCCCTGTACGGCCTCCCATTGCTGCTGTCTCCATCGCCACACTCTGCATGTGCCACTTTCAGGTCTCCTCACACTGCTGGTGGGTTCCATTTTTTCATAGGGTGCTGTATGGCCTCCCATTGCTGCTGCCTCCACCGCCACACTGTGGCTCCACACTTTGGTTTTGGCCCCGTGACTGCCCAAATGAGTGAAGTGTGCGGTTATTCTAAGATCGACGGCACTCATCTGCATGTCATACTGACTGACAGTATTATTTCTCTTCCCCAGCAGACTCCAAGGGCATTTAAATTAAAGGTACAGTGTTCTGCACTAATATAAAGGCTCTCTGAAGCCTAGAAACACCCTTTTTATAAGTTTAAAATTCGCAGCGAATATATTCGACTCGAATCGAATTTATTCCGCGAATTCGCCGAATCAGCCGAATCGAATTTTTTAATAATTCGCTCATCTCTATAAATAACATTGGTTTTTTTCAAATTTCTTTTCATTTATATCACAAAAAAAAAACAATGGTGATAAAATACCACCTAAAGAAAGCTCTATTTGTGTGATGAAAATTATATAAATTTTGTTTCATGACAGCGCAATTACCAGTTAAAGTACCGTAGTGCTAAACTGCAAAAAAAGGTCTGGTCATGAAGGGGGTATAATCTTTTGTTCAAGTGGCTAATGATACTGTGTTTTTTTTTTCTGTGTTTCAGTCATGTTTTTATTTGTATATTGTTTTTCTTCTATGTGGTACATTTAGGTTCCATGGACACTGGCCTTAAAAGCACCAGTTACCTTGGCAGAAGAAAAAGTTCATATAGAGCATTTTTGCACAATGTTTAGGTATGTTTTGAAGTGTTTAGCGTTTTTTTCTGGCAGAAAACTCAAATCAAAAACGCAGACCAGAAGCATATTTTTTACTTTAGCTTGTATTTGTCTCAGCTTTCATATGTCATTTTAAGTGCATTGATGCATTGCCTGCTTCAAAATAGAAGGAGGAATTGCTATAGTGGATATTGGAAGGGAGATGGAGCTAGGTATGAAGTAACATTATTAGGTGGGCTTCAAGGTGGTGTTGCCTGTGGACATTTAGGGAATCATTATCACAGGCACCTAGGGCTGACTTCACTTTATTTACAGCCCTTACACAAACACAAAAATAGTGAGCGCTTAAAGTTATGTTTACTGGCTCAGACAGGCTCAGGCTCAGAAAGGTTTAGGAGGTGGAAAAATCATAGCTGTGGCTTAGTACAGAATAAATCAGATAGAAGTAAAAAAAAAATTGTCTTAATCCCTAAAGCATTTGCGAGGGAAGGCAAAATGACACCTGGCTAGAAATATACACCATACCCAAAGGAAATTTAAAGCTAATGTCATGCAAACTTGGAAAATATGCAGCGTCTAGCTAAAGCTAGAGTATAAGGGGAAATTCACTGCATCATCATTAATGCACACGCTTAGATGAGGTATAGCTATAGAATGAGTTCCTGTCTTTCCTATAAATAAAATGGCAAGTAGAGCGCTAAAACCCCAATCTGTATTCAATCATTCAATGTCTGATCTAGAGTACACATTTTGTACAAATTCCTAATGAGTGACATTTTGTAGATTACTTGGATATGTTGACACTAGCCTCTGATCATGTAACCACTGCTTTAAACACAAATGTAAGGCTGGCCATACATCACACAATTTTCTTGTACAGTTTTCCTTTAGATTTACCAAAACCATACAATATGAGGTCAAACCTCACAACAGTTCAAAAAATCTTTGGCTGCCAGAACCATTTTATTAATGTGCGCAGTAAAATGTTTAAATTAAAATTATTATTGGGCAGCAGAGTGGCTAAATGGTTAGCACTTCCGCCTGGCAGTACTAGGGTTGTTGGTTCGAATCCCAGCCACGGCACCACCTGCCTGTAGTTTGCATGTTCTCCCTGTGCCTGCGTGGGTCTCCTCCAGGTACTAGGGTTTCCTCCCACACTCCCAAGACATGCTGGCAGGTTAATTGGCTCCTGTCTAAATTGGCCCTAATATGTGTATGTATGAATGTGAGTTAGGGACTTTAGATTGTACATCCCTTGAGGGTTAGGGACTGATGTGAATGTACTATATACAGTCATGGCCGAAATTGTTGGCACCCTTGATATTTCTCCAGGAAATCATGTATTTCTCACGAAACGTATTGCATTAACACATGTTTTGCTATACACATGTTTATTCCCTTTGTGTGTATTGGGACAAAACAAAAAAGGGAGGAAAGAAAGCAAATTCGACATAATGTCACACAAACCTCCAAAAATGGGCTGGACAAAAGTATTGGCACCCTTTCACAACTGCGGATAAATAAGAATGTTACAAGCATGTGATGCTCCTGTAAACTCACCTGGGGCAAGTAACAGGTGTGGGCAATATAGAAATCACACCTGAAAGCAGAAAAAAGGAGAGACGTTCACTTAACCTTTGCATTGTGTGTCTGTCTGTGCCACACTAAGCATGGACAACAGAAAGAGGAGACGAGAACTGTCTGAGGACCTGAGAACCAAATTGTGGCAAAATATCAACAATCTCAAGGTTACAAGTCCATCTCCAGAGAACTAGATTTGCCTTTGTCCACAGTGCGCAACATTATCAAGAAGTTTGCAACCCATGGCACTGTAGCTAATCTCCCTGGTCGTGGACGGATGAGGAAAATTGATGAAAGATTGCAACGCAGAATAGTCCGGATGGTGGATAAGCAGCCCCAAACATGTTCCAAAGACATTCAAGCTGTCCTGCAGGCTCAGGGAGCATCAGTGTCAGCGCGAACTATCCGTCGACATTTAAATGAAATGAAACGCTATGGCAGGAGACCCAGGAGGACCCCACTGCTGACACAGAGACATAAAAAAGCAAGACTACAGTTTGCCAAAATGTACTTGAGTAAGCCAAAAGCCTTCTGGGAAAACGTCTTGTGGACAGATGAGACCAAGATAGAGCTTTTTCGGTAAAGCACATCATTCTACTGTTTACCGAAAACGGAATGAGGCCTACAAAGAACAAAACACAGTACCTACGGTAAAATATGGTGGAGGTTCAATGATGTTTTGGGGTTGTTTTGCTGCCTCTGGCACTGGGTGCCTTGACTGTGTGCAAGGCATCATGAAATCTGAGGATTACCAAAGGATTTTGGGTCGCACTGTAGGGCCCAGTGTCAGAAAGCTGGGTTTGCGTCCAAGATCCTGGGTCTTCCAGCAGGACAATGACCCCAAACATACGTCAAAAAAGCACTCAGAAATGGATGGCAAAGAAGCGCTGGGAGAGTTCTGAAGTGGCCAGCAATGAGCCCAGATCTAAATCCCATTGAACACCTGTGGAGAGATCTTAAAATTGCTGTTGGGAAAAGGTGTCCTTCCAATAAGAGAGACCTGGAGCTGTTTGCAAAGGAAGAGTGGTCCAAAATTC